GAGAATGGGCTAGTTGCACGAGCAACATGCTCTACTCCGCTGAATTCATTATGCCCTACTTCACTGAAGTTGGCAAGCGCACCTGCGTTGTTTACTGCGTACATTGGTAACAGACGCCTCAGTGCTGGCGATGGCGAGAAGGGAGATGGAGTCACACGTGGAAGCTCGCACGATTTAAATATACACGTAAGCTTGTGAACAATGCGTTTCAGATCTAGCAGGACAAAGGCGATGTCAGGGTTCCACCGCTTCTCCGACTACTGTGTAACATCCCCAACGTATCGAACAAAGAGTTCTTTAAGTAATTCTAAGAAATGGACGACTTAACAACGATCGGTATAACCCCTGCCTCAGAATAAGCACACACTCTCAAATCAGGTTCAAATACGAACCTCCGGTTGGTAAAATGTATTGTCTGTGGTTCATGACCCGCAGCACTGCGCTAACGATGCCCCATGGGCAGTGAACGAGATGACTAATCAAGTACTCGGTCCAACTTCAATGAACAGGTGGGGTATGGTGCTCACATTGTTCCTGGTCCTTGCCAAAAATCATGTCCAGTACGCGTCTCATTCGGGCATCGATTTCTGCGTGGGTTTCCCTCACTTCAGGGTCCCAGAGTGTGTCTTCTTCTATGAGCTCCTTTTCGATGTCGAAGTCAGGGAAAGTTTGTTCGATGTAAGTGCGCGTTCTTCGCTTATCACAGGTATGGACGCCCGTTGTTTCTCTAAGATTCTATAGCGCGAGTGAGTAAACCTAGCGAAAAAGTCTCGTGTCTTGATACCTCGATAATCATAGTTCGCTGTGATTGAGGTATAATGGAGTCGAATGATATCTTGTTTGTATGGATAGCTCGTGTCAGAGGGCTGCAGTAGAGCTTCTCCGGAATGGGAATGCCGAATTTACGTTCTTGTTTCCATGCGTCATGGACCGCTTTTGCCTGATCCTTGCCAAGCGTCGTCAGTTCCGGGTCCGCTATAATGAGTTGTGAGGCAGCGCAATTCAGCGAACAGGTGATGTTACTGACGTCCCCAGATCAATTCTCCATCGCCGTTTTCCTTCGACCAATAGCTTGATGGATGTAGTCAGGTCAGGGAACTTCATTGAAGGAAGAGAACGGTGGAAATGCACTTGTTCCATTCCTTCCGACGTGGGAGGGGGTTGTTAGGATAGAATGACACTACAAAGTAGGGCCTAGGTCGCACCTCTGTGCCGTACTTCGCCTCGGCTACGTTGTCTTGTGGGGAAAAAATTATATCAATTCTTGAAATGTTATCTTCAACGACATGAGATCCTCACGAAAGCCTTCACCGTGTCTGCCCACGAAAAACACCTTGTACTGCGTACCGGCGGGAGAGGACGTATTAAGCTGATCGATCTTTTGCCTGAACGTCTTCCATCGACCATCGGAACGATCTATCAGCCCGAATCGAGGAGGAAGCTGGAGTCCAAAAACTGGAGTTCAAATCTTTATGTTCGACGAAAATACACAGAAACTTACAGCCTTCAATACGAAGAACGGGATTATGCGTCAGCCAAGCGAAATCCTCATGGTCAAACACTACCTCGCCTAGACCGTAACGAGCGCCACCTTCTTGCATGAAAAATCCTTCGACCACCTGCCATTGGACTCATTCAGTCCTCGACCACATATGATCTCAAAAGACACGGATCGTAAAAGCTAACCTCATAAGACCGCTGGGACATGGTATATCGGGACTCCAGAAGAGATACTGACTCTAAGCGGGTAATTACTATAAGAAGTCATCTCCTTCCTGTATGGTCTGTCTCACGAAATACTACTAAACAATCATGCGCACTTTGGGGCAACTTCTGGGTTCCTGTTTCAAGTTGGTCGCCAGGAGGTAAAATTCACACCCGAAGTTCCCGAACCGTTGAACGTGACTTGGCCCTTTCCTCCGATGAAGCCACGAAGCGATATCGACACCTCCCAAGTCGAAGGGAATGCTTCCTCGGAAATAAAACACAGGTTGCTCAGCGGTCTGCAATCCATGCGGTCGAGCCGCATCTCGCAGTCGACTGGCAAGCCCTTTGGGGGTTTCGAAGCCGAGCTTGTGTCTCGGTTGCGACTAACAGAGGCATCTATATCGTCGAAGACAGAGGAACCGGAGAAACTTGAAGGCCGTGTCGTTTTCCAGGTGATTGTGGACGAAGGTGCCTTTTGTTTCTGATATTATTCGCTGTGCTTATTGACAAATTCTCAGAAATGCTTAATGGTGCTGAAAACATGCACGGTGGATGTTCGGCCATGATGATTGACATGCATGTTTCTTCTCCTCCTGTTGCCAGGAGCTAATGTAGATACGTAGCTGCTCGACAATGCCCATTTACGTCCTTGGGGCCTCGACACGCGGTCATGGCATATTTGGCGTATCACAGTCTTTGAACATTGTCTATCATTCACCAGCATTGTCGTATGTTCAAATATCACATCAATCACTTTTTGCTGAATCATTCTGTCAGGGGAGACAAGCTACGCGTTGTGAGCACAACACTCGCCGTTGGTGGCCGGGCGCTCTCAAGTCGTTGTGAAGTGAGATTCTTGCAGTCTCACACTCTTGCTCCATCAGCTCATGTCTGGCTTCAAAGATATGGAATGTTACGCGACACCGATTAGTAGCATCAGCTGTACACATCAAGATGGTTCCGTCTGAACCGAAGGTATCTGAATCTGCCAAACTCTGACCTACATCATGGGGCGGTCACGAGTTTAGTGATTTACACAATTACACTGTATAGTGCGTTGCATTATGAAAGATGTTCAGTCTTTGATTTGGACGCAACATGTTTGTATATATTTGTGCCCAGTGTAACTGTCACGTGCACACTCTATCTCAATGACTTCAGTAGAGGATTGTTATTATTAAGATAGGCTTCACTCATACCCATCGACATCACATGATGTGACATTCCTGTGACATTCTGTTACATTGTGTGACCTTCAGTGTGCAAGGAAAAGATAACAATGCTTGAAGCTTCTATCATCTATTGAGGTATCTGGAGGTATACTAACAATATGTTAGAGTGTTTAGGACATGAATTTAACAAGTGTTGTCAACCAAACCTGCATCTGTCAAATCTCGCATGATTGTCTCAGGCAAAACTTGATGACCATGATACTTCTTTGAGGCCCATGCCACTCAGTGCTTGCTTGCCATTTAGCCCTTTTCTATAGGCATCCATAAATCTCAATGAGTGAGCAGAAAAACTAGCATATCATAGTGTCAGCATGCTACCAATGGAACCATGATTCACAACAAAGACTCACCAATGAATGGCAAGCAGTGGAACTGAGTCCAAAGACTGAAGGGTGTTGCATTTGAGATCAACAATGCAGGAAGTTCACAATAAATTTGTTTTGAGTAGCCCCAACATTGCTTGATGAAATTGAGCTCACAGTGAAACTTAGGGACATCAGTAAATTCACACATTCCTTAGCACAGCTTATTTTGAAAATTAAAACTTATTTTTAACTTATCTATAATTATTCACTTTGCTTTGAGTTTGACAAGTCAAGTAAGGAAGCATGTGGAATTTAAGTGCTGAAAAGCAGTGCAAGGCAAGATCAATTACCAATGCTGAAACAAGCGCTGCAAGTTGCAATACATTATTATCGATCTACTACTACTACTCATGATTCGAACTCTGTACTCGTCTGAACAAAGATCTCGAGTGCAATCTGGTACGTCCTCAGGCTTTGGCTTGTTGTTTGTTTGTTGATGACGCTGGAACAACAGATAAACCAAGATCGATGGACTCCAATGTGCGTTGCGGGCAGGAGCGAAAATGCTGGTGGACAGAGGCTGCCGCTTGTGCACTCGCAGAGGTGAATGAGGATGTGGGATGGCAGGTGGACTCAGAGGTCCCACTGGGGTTGTGGGAGAGACTGAAGAGGGTCTTGGGGCGCAAGGGTCGAAACTGAATGCGAGTGCAGTGTGACTGCAGGTTAAGGTGAGTGGAAATATTACAGCAGACAAGCTGTGAACTTACCAATCTTGAAGTTGATATTATTGTCTTGGTGATTCGGCATCTGGGAGCTGCGGGATGGACCTGTAAACTAGTGTTTTGGTTGATGTTAGTAGTTTAGAGTAAAACACAAGAGCACATTCAGCTGCATTGAGGGTGAACAACTTACAGTCCATAGAGGACATGACCTCCTTGAACAACACTGTGTGTTGCTGATGCATAAGCCACCTGGACTTTGTCCTCGAGAACTGACAGCCTTAGAAAGGGTCTCTGGGTGCTGAGACTGTGAGATGAGCTGAGGCAGTGGGGTCATAATGAATGCTAAGCAACTCCTGCGCCTGCTGTTGTTCAAGTGTATGCATTTGATCCTCAAATATTTTCCATTGCAATAACCTTTGGTGCTCGTGCTCTAAGCGCTTCAGCTCGACGCGCTTTGGGAAGGAAGGTCAATTAGAAGGAAGATCAGAGAAGTTTTAGTGGTACAAGGTAAGCACTCACTGAGAATGAATGCAACAGCACGACCTTCCCATAAGCCAAGGGCCATGATGGCACAGTGGACACGCCTGAGGAAAGATCCAGCTTCGTGGTGGTGATGGTGAGACTCAGCTTCATGATGGCAATAGACCCACAAGACGGACCAATCAGGAAGAAGCTCCTTGACATCACCTGAATTTTCCTTCTCAGAGGAGCTGGCCTGGATGGTTGATGTAATGGGTTGCATGAACAAGGGAATAGGAAGATCAGAGAAATTTTAGCAGTACAAGGTAAGCACTCACTGAGAACAAATGCAACAGCATGACCTTCCCATAAGCCAAGGGCCATGATGGCATGGTGGACATGCCTAAGGAAAGATCCAGCTTCGTGGTGGTGATGGTGAGACTCAGCTTCGTGATGGCGAGAGGCTAGACCCGTGACTGCATGCCTCCTTGATGTGTTGGGAATAGTTGTAGACAACTTGCTATTCACGTTGTTAATACGTTGTTGTGTCAGAAGAAAGGGTGCATACCTCGTCTGAAAATATCTGGTAGATGTGAGTGTCCATTGTGATGCTGTCATATCCATCGACCATCAAGCCATCCCAATCACTGAGACTTTGGAATGCATCATGAATGAGCTCGACAGTATTACTTTCTGTGGATGAGTTGTAAGGATATCTATAGAATCCAGTCGTTAGTGGTCAAAATTAGGATGAGGGCAAGGTCCTTGCCTGATATTCCCATATGAGTCTTTCCAATATTGCTTCATGACTGTAAGCATGTCATCACCATCAAATCCAGCAGGTCTATAACTCATCAATCCAGCTGTATAAACTAGGATAGAAGGGAACTTACTCATTCAATGGGGTTGATGTAATGGGTTGTGTGAACAAGGGATTAGGAAGGATATGAAGTTCTCCAGAAACAGGACCAGAAGCTCCTTGATATCGCCTGAATTTTCCTTCTCAGAGGAGCTGGCCTGGACAGTTGATGTAATGGGTTGCGTGAACAAGGGAATAGGAAGGATATGAAGTTCTCCAGAAACAGGACTGGGGGTACTGTGTCAGCGTCTGCGCAAGTTTTGACTGGGTGTTCTTCATGCGATGTCCCAGGACCTGACCATTAGCAATGGACTGAGAATTGGATCAAGAACCCACCTATGTAATCCAGTCAGGACGCTATCTCAAATGTGTGGTGGTCAGCATATTTGTTGACATAAAATGAGCCAAAAGTGTCAAGAGAATGATAAAACTTGAGGGAGTGAGGAATGTACTCTGAACCGTAGATAGCTATCAAGTGTGCTGCACGGAAGACCGTCTCGATGTGAATGACAGCAAGGTTCCTCAAGCTGTCCTCATGAAAACTTGGAGCGACCATCCACATGCCAGTATCTTCATCAGGGCAGTCACCAATCTTCTCAAACCACTGTATGAGAGTGCAAGGATATACTTCCCAGTTGTGCTTGAATGAAAAGAAGCATATGACTCTCGCAACTTCGAGTCCTTGCATCCCTTCAGCATCTGAATCAGTGTTAATGAACACGCAATCATTGCGCAGGTACTCGTTTCGCCAGAGTGGACATGCACGGATATGTTCGCATCACATGCCACCAATGCCACTCAGATCACTGGGAGCATAACACGTTGCAGCAGCAGAATTGAAGACCTGAAGCTTGCCTTCATGTCGAGGCAAGCTAGCAGCTGGGATATCTTTGGGGTTGTGGGCATCATCCAGGTTGAGCTGAGAGAATAGAAAGTACCAAATGAGGTGTCATAGATCTGGAACAGCAACTTTATGTGCCAATGCTGCTACTGTCTGTGCCCATTTTCGTTCTGTGAGATACAGTGGTGAGCATTGAGATTGGACATTGCATGAGATTATTTATGAGGAGTTTTGGTGAGTGCCACATAAGCAAGCACTGTTGGACCATCAACTATTTCAGCATCATCAGTATCGTCTGCTTGTTGCAGTTCAATGATGGGGGCATCTGGTTGCAGTGCAATAGCAGGGGTGTCTGGTTCGTTTTCATCTGCTGTTGTATATGACTGTTGGGTATGCGAGAAATTTGAGAAAGAAACCTTAAACAGACTTACCAAGAGCAGCTAAAGTACTTGATAAAATTGTGCCAGTGAGCATCCCTCATGCATCAAAGTCCGCATGGGATGCTGCGAGCTTATCAAGGCACTGATTGGTCACAAGCATCTGACCAAGAGCATTGTGCCTGTTCGACCACCACCAAGGCTCCTTTACGGCCTTGATGTGCTTTGATTCTGTGATCGATGAGCACAGTCTGTTAGGGGCACCGAAGAGTCTGATCATGTCAACATAATGAACCATTGAGTGCTGATGGGGGAGTGAGAAGGTGGGAACAACGTTTTCAAATATTGTGTGATATCAATGAAAATGACCAAGTGCATCTTGAATCTGAATCAGTGTATCTTTGGTAATGACATTGCGCTGGACAAGATAACAGAATTCTAACAATGCGCGAAACATGCGCACCATGTCTTGAGGTACATGACCTTCGATAGCCAGAAGAAACACTTTCATGAGTGCTTTGGAATCATTGCCAGTCCACTGTTTAAAATTGCAGCCTTGAGGGAAACATCATAGACCAGAGAATGATGGTACAGCAGCAACTCTGACTTATTGTTAGATAATATCATTGAGTAAATGAGTAAGTTGACATACCTGCGATCTATGTTGCTCATGATCTCCTCTGACCATTTGGTCCTGTGCATGGCCTTGAGGTACTTTGCTACCCAATCAATGAGATGGTCTTTGAAAGCCCCTTTAATTAGCTGGTGGAGGAGGTCAAATGACAGCAACTCATGAATGTCAGCTCGGGGGAAGTCATTAGTGAATGGCTACACAAAATAGATTAGTCTGGTATTGGAGAGCGGCTTGTTCGACTCATGACGAGATCACCAATGAGACCAAATTCATCCCACAATACATCTGCATGTAGCTCATTGATTAAGAAATCAGTAAACTTGCAGGTGCGGTAGGTGGCATCACCATCAAGGTTTGTGTGAACTGCAATGCATCTACACGAATTGTTAGTGTGAATGGATACTGACTGCAAGTGCCAATACTCACTTCAGGCACCAATGTTTGACAATACAGGATAGCACTAGTTGTTCTTTGTAATCTGCGATGTATGGTCCTAGACTATATATGATGCGCTGAAAGTGTCCATCTCCACAGTGCATGACCTCATACTCAGTCATAACAGGTTTTAGACTGGAGAGAATCGCAGACAATGAGCTGTGGAACAGCTGGCGGCAAAATATCCGAAATAAGTCATCTTTCGAATGCGTCTTGTCAGCTGTAAGACAGGTCAGATGAGGCATAATGAAATTTAAATATGAACATATGTACTTTTGGGTATGGCGAGGAAACCGATGATGACAAGAGCATCATGATGCGTGCGTCGTATGTTGTTGCATACATTACTGATCGAGGCATAGAGGGGGTAATACTCATTATTACCAGTGCCCAGAGACAGTAGTCTTGTCACTACTGAGAATGATTGGGATCAAAGCAGATCTGTGTGTTTCTGGATCTTGCAATATGGTGTCCTTGATGGAATATTAGCTATATTATGAGCAATACCAGAAAGAGATGGAGGACGTACTGCCTGTTGCCATGCCCAGTCTCCGGACATGAAGTCTTTCCATTGGCGCGTCTCGTCTGATGCATCATATTCACAAAATGGCACATAGTCAATTTCGTCCTTGTAGGTAGGGTTAGCAAGTATATTGTGCGCCATTGCACAAGGGTCCCTATACCAGACCTCAAATTCTTCGTCCATCCAAGGTGGGACAACCTCGGGTCGTTCTCCTGTGTATTGTGCAGAGAAACACTGCCAAGGGACATCACCAAGCTGTGTTGCATCTATGACATTGTGCAGATCTTTGTGATCAGCGAATGGAGGGGTGTTGTGGTGTTTCACAAGTGTCACTGCCATCAGGTCACACAGGAAATCCAAATTCCTCGCTGACATGTGGCATCTTTTGAATGCGAACTCTGCCACCTCGAATTCGATTCTATTGCGGTATGGGCTCCAATCATTGGGAGCCTTCGGTGGCGCAGGAGTTGGAGGGGTACCATGTGGCAGAAATGTCCCATCAGCCATGCATGGTCGTCCTAAGCATATATTTGAGTCAAAAACAGAGTATTCAAACTTGAATGAAACTTACCATTTAACTTTGAATGGAACGTGCGATAGCAATGCTCGCTCGTGTCAGTGAATTCTGCATCGGTGTTTGAATCCTCATGAGTTGGATCAGGGAGTATGGGAGATGATGGCCGGGGTGGGGGTGAAAAATCCAGAGGGGGCAGCGAGAAATCTCGAGGGGGCGGTGACAAATCTCAAGGGGGTGGTGACAAATCTTGAGGGGGTGGTGACAAGTCTTGAGGGAGGGAGGGTGAACAAGATGGCTGGGGATGATCCTGAGGGGACAGTCCTAAAACAGGTAAAGTTGGGTGAAGCAAGTGCCTGTGTTGTGTGAGACCTGACTGGTTTCGAAACCAGTGTGAGCATCCTGGAACTGGGCATGGAAGCTGAAGCAGGTGGTGAGCACGATGGGAAGGCATATGTGCTGTGCTGGGATGTTGACAATTGAAGAAGATGTCAAAGGTGGACACATTCTAGGTTTGGGGTGCAACCGCCCATAATTATCGGCACCAATGTGACAAACCAGTTTGATAATAAAAGCCAGATTTGGGGCCCAGACATGAGCAAACTGTACCGAACAGGTTTTGGCGAACATTGATTTTAGTGCTACACTGGAAATGTGGTGGTTAACCTCAGTCTCACTGCATCAACGAATGAAAACTAGTACTCACAGTGCGGAAAGATTGGTAGACTATCTCCTTGTCGGAAAGGTGTTGGTGAACCATGACATCGATGTCTCACAGGCAAAGTGTTGGATTGGAGTGCCTGAAAAATGCTGGAGACTCCCAATATTAATGGCAATGGCAAAATATTGCGCTAGTATATTAGTAGGTACATCAGAGCAAAGTAGGGTCATATGTATTTATTCAGAGTCAGCTTAGGCAACATTTTTTGGAGAGTTGTGACAAAACTCACCTTGTTGTCAGCCACCACTAGTCAAATTTTCTCTTTCTTCAGCCTCCCAAACCCTCCATTGATACCATGTCTCAGCCTGCCAGCACAGTTTTGAAACGTGTGACGACCTGAGCTAAAAATGCAACTCAGCATCCAGGTTATATCCTGACCAGGGGCGAAGGCCACGTAAAGAGACGTACCAAAGCTCAAAAGGCCACTGATGATCAGTGCAAAGAAGAGGAAAAGAGGGCAAGTGAAATGGCTGAACTTGAAGCACATAACCAGATTGCTGCTTTTCAGAAACAAATGGAGACAGATCAAGCCACTAAACGAGCTGATGCGCCAAAGCCTACTCGTCCCCGCCCACACCCTGTTAAAAAGGCTGTAAAAGCCACGGAGACCTCCAACTCGACTATGGCTGAGGATAAGGCTGTTAGTGCTGATGGTAAGGGTGGTAGAGCAGGAGGTAAATTAGCAACTGGTGCTAACGTCGAACATCCTGAGAGTGATGCTGAGGAAGAGGTGTGAGTGCCAGGGTCATGCAAGAAGAAGGAGAAGAGGAAAGTGTTACCAGTGAAGATGCCAGTGAGAGATGCAATCCAAGCTGCGGGCCTTATCGATGAATCAACGATGGCACATGATGATGATAAGAAGCTTGATGATGTGTAAGACGTTTGCTTCTCAACTATGTTGCACCATCTCACTGAAACAGCTCTTTTCTTTTTCAATCTAATGGTCCATGATGATAGCTCTACTAAAGATTATGGTATTGCTGCCGAGTGCATCTTGGGTTGGAGGACTGATATTCCTCCTGCTGGTTCAAAGCCATCCTCCGGCTTGAGGAAAAAATTATCTACGATGCCTTCCAACTTCTCTAGTACTGCTCCCTCCTCTAAACTAACTATGGGGAGTACTATTAGTAGCGGTGGTGCCCCACTCACACCCATTGACACAATCGCCGATGCTGGGGCTGACAACGTGGCAGATCGTTTTACAACCCTATTTGCAGACAATGATTTGGACGAATCAGTCGAGCGCTCTCAAGCCCTTGCCCGTATGTCTAAACCAAGGGCTGCTCAGGTGAGTTCAATTACCCAGTTCTTTTTATTGCGTTAACTGCATTACCAGGGAGTCAAGATTTCTTCTAAGGTTCCTGATACTTCAGTACAAACCATTCACACCTATCAAAACACCAATCTGACTCCTTGACAGCTCAACACAATTCAGTCTGACGTTGTTGCTGATGATGAAATGAATGTTGAGGCGGCTCCCCCAGTAGTAGCTTCCCTCATTAACTATGGATCTGACACCAATATGGAATCTGACCTTGAGCCTCCTCCTTCTATGCAAGTCCCCAGAGGATATTATGATGCTGATATCCGTCGAGCTGCAGCTCTCGCTCAAACTCAAACATCCCACTCTACCATGACAAGTGTCAAGCGCAAACTCATAGATATCCTGACCAATGATGACGAGATCAAGGATGCCCTGCCAGAGGACGACCTGATTGAGGACAACTTCATGGTCAATGACAACTTCACAGATAATCATGCCTTTGTGATCAAGGAAGATGCACCTTCGTCTGATATTGAATTTGTGAATCACGTCAAGCCTGTGGTGGTCAAGATCAAATCTGAACCAGTATCCTTGTGGGTCACTTCTGCGGTAGTAAGCTTCGGTTATTATTTTTAAATCATACTAACTACAAATTATGTAGACTAATGTTGGCGTCAAACACAGAGCTCCTGTGGCAAAGCGGACAAAGTCTTCTATCACACACACTCATAGTCTTTCCAGCATCTCGAGTGCTACTTCTGGCGCTGTGCTGAAATCTGTAGAGGTGGAGATCCTCCCCCATTCTGCTTACAGGATCAAAAACCTTCCTGGAGGTCCTCGGGCAGTCACTAGGTGGAGCTCGGTCTTCATTCCTACCCTCATTTCCGCCATTGGGGATCAAGACAAAGTTTGGGGCTGACTCGAGTCGGAGACGACACTTTGCACTATTATGCAAGACACTTGGAATGTGGTCTACAAGGATATACCTCACATGGTCACCATTGATGGGCTGGTTATGGCTTTAGTAAGTCATTTTTGATGCATTTCATATCTGATTGTGTTTTATTTTTTTATTAGGCTACCCGGCGGCTATCAGAGTGGCACAACAGTGTTGGCACTACTGCCATCACAGTACTTATGCACTTCATGTCATCACAGGACGATGTGGAGACTGACGAGGATCGCAAAAATTTTGCAAAAAACTTACGTCTCAAGTTAGCTTTCTTGTATGGGACCATCACTGAGGACGGCAAATTCAAGCAGCCTTTTCAATCTGAACTCCTCATTCAAGTTCTCATACAGCATAGGTGCACTACTTGGGGCGCTGTTGACAACCACAGGACGATCACACATGCAAAGGGCGCCCTTAGTCTTGCCACTGCAGCAGCATGTATATTCATTCTCTCGTCATACCATGACTAACTCATTTCTTGTGTTTCAGATGGAATGTGCCCTCGATATTTTCAGCAGGGACACACGCATCAGTGAACTGAAAGTCAACAGCAAAGGAAAGGCCATCAAGGTCCCACACACCATGAACAAAGCCTCAGGCAAGCCCAGTAGCGCTCTCAAGGCATTTTCAGACACAAACTATGGTGAGGTGACCAGGGGATACATGAAGTCTATCAACCACCTCTGAGAGTCGGTCATCTGGGACATCTGGGAGCGCACCAAGGACATTGCCATGAAGAGGCATGGTGCGCCCGCCGCTCTTGACAGCGAGGATTCCAACAATGAGTGTGCACTCATCTATGACAACTGGTAGTACCGTTTCATTGTTCACTACTATTCCCTAACTGATGATTTTGTAGAGTCATTCACTACTACTAGGTGCTGCATAGTATTATTGAATCTCTTGCGCTTGTTCTTGCTTGATGTCTATATTTCGCTACTTA